GTTTGCTTAAGTAAACAAAGTAACCTGTTGCAGTTTTCCAGGGTATAGAATAGCTACCCACTCCTTCTGCTCATTTTTGCTTCAGTTTTCTGCTCTTTAGTGCTGGTACCTTAGGGTGAACAGGGACAGGGAGAGAAGGGAAAATTCAAAGTTCATTTTACCTTTGACATTGGAGCAATCTGGTTTAAATGTCGGAGACTGGCCAGGCACTTTGGGAGGCCGAGGTGGATAGATCACCTGAAGTCAGGAGTTCGAGACTAGACTGGCCAAGAGGGCAAAACCCCGTCTCTACAAAAAAAAAAAAAAAAAAAAACCTGCAAAAATTAACCGGGCACGGTGGCGCACGCCTGTAATCCTCACTACTCAGGAAGCTGAGGTAGGAGAATAAAGATCCAAAAAGAAGTTGGTGGCCAGGCCTGGTGGCTCATGCCTGTAATCCCAGCACTTTGGGAGGCCGAGGTGGGAGGATCACCTGAGGTCAGGAATTCGAGACCAGCCTGGCCAAAATGATGAAACCTCGTCTCTACTAAAAATGCAAAAATAAGCTGGGCTCGATGGTGCGCACCTGTAATCCCAGCTACTCTGGAGGCTGAAACAGGAGACTCGCTTGAACCCAGGAAGTGGACATTGAAGTGAGCCGAGATCACACCACTGCACTCCAGCCTGAACGACAGAGCAAGATTCTGCCTCAAAAACATAAATAAATAAAATAAAATAAATTTTTAAAAAGTCAGAGACAGAAGCCAAAAGGCTGCTCAGGGAAAGCCTTACTTGGTAGTAAGTTTTGTGATTTCATTATAGTTTGAGGTTCAGTTTTACAGTTGCAGGCACATATTTAAAAGTGTTCATTTTCAGGGAAGATTCTACTTTTCCAGTGTCTGAAATATTTGCACTTTCTATCCAGGCCCCTTCCTTCCTGGCACTGAGGTGTTTGAGAAGGCAAATTGACAATCACGATGTTGCTTTACACATGTAGAACCAGAACACAGGGAATGGGTCTTCCGGATGTGCTAAGCTTTCTGTGGCATACTTAGTCTGGAAGCTACATTTCTCAGAATGCCTTTCCCAGTGTGGCTCCAGATTTGAGTTGGGCAAACATGCAGTTGCATGAGCTATGAGAGCAGAAGTAAAGTCACCATACTCTGGAGATGACTGAGGGACAGCAGAGACAGCCAGAGTGCCGAAGGAGCCCAGTTTGTGCTTGTCTTCTTCTCTTATTCCACATCCTGCACACTCCCTCTCGACTGTTGACCCTGCTGAGCAATGGCAGCCCCAGGCCCGCCACCAGATGCTTCATGTGAACTCATGGAGGGAGCAACCACAGGGCACCTGACTTCTCTGCCACCTCCCTGCCCTTACTTCAACAGTTGGACATCCCTGGCTTCCAGACTCCTTGCATGCTCGGATTCATTCACCCAAGCCAGTGCTGCTTAGGGACTGTCATCCAATCCTTCAACAGCTTCTTCTTCTTCTTCTTTTTTTTTTTTTTTAAGATGGAGTCTTGCTCTGTTGCCCAGGCTGGAGTGCAGTGGTGTGATCTTGGCTCACTGCAACCTCCGCTTCCCAGGTTCAAGTGATTCTTCTGTCTCAGCCTCCTGAGCAGCTGGGACTCTAGGCACACACCACCACGCCCAGCTAAATTTTGTATTTTTAGTAGAGACAAGTTTTTACCACGTTGGCTGGGCTGGTCTCAACTCCTGACCTCACGATCCACCCGCCTCAGTCTCCCAAAGTGCTGGGATTACAGGCGTGAGCCACCGTTTCCGGCCAACATCTTCTTTTTGGATCTTTATGTCCCTAGCTCCTCTCCCAATTGTGCAAGGCCTTGTCCTAAGAAATTTCTTCTTTCATTATGCTCAGCGTGGCTCTGCTTTCCTGACTGGCCGTGACTGAAGCAAGGGTTATTTCATCCAAATCACAGTAAGACCACAAGACCATCCCTACCTCCCAGTGGACAAAGACCCTCTGTACAGTGTCAGTATGTCCACCAGGATTCAAGACCTTGTCTCTTGGACAGTGATTACTATCTGTTCAGCCCTGTGTCAGGCAGCATCAGGGATAAGGCGGCCTTTAGCCTATTAGAATTCATAATCCAGTTCTGCAGGTAAGATCCAGTTAACAGGTATGAAAAACCTACCCTGAGCAGTAAACCAAGCTCTTGCTCCCCAGCAGGTACATGAGACAGTCCATGAGAGTATGGGAAAAGAATAGAAATTTTACTGACCCTTGTTTTACATCATCCTTTTATTTTCTATCTCGAAGTGGAGGGACCCCACACACAGGGGAGAGTAGCCATTGCCCCCTCCACCCCCAGCAATGCAGCCCTTTTTCCTTTTGCTAATGGCCCCTTTCAGGAGAAATCATGCCCTCCAAAAGCAATGGCAACAGACCTGCTGCTTTGTTTCTGCTCTGAAATGGTGGCATTTGCTGTTTCACAGTGAGCAGGTGGCTTTCTTCCCCAAGGGGTGGCTCTCATTACATCCAGGTTTCAGACAGTACCTGAGTCAGCTCAGAGTTAAAGCCCAGAGGCTTCACCCGCCCAGGCCAGCCACTGATGTCGGCTCCCTGCCCCATGGGAAGTGGTTTTCTGTTTATTTTTGTTGGTTTAGCCTTTTTTGTTTCCTTATGCAATTTCAGCAGCTTGGCTAAACAAGTTATTCTGAGTGTCCAGACATCCAGGTCTTCTGATTCTGAGATTGTATTCCCATCGCTTTTCACCGGTGTTTTTGACTCTTACTTCCTGGCTGTGCACCTGCCTCCTACTGACCTCCACTGAGAGGGAAGCAAAAAGATACTGTGGCTAGCTGGCCAGACATCTGTCTCAATCCAATTCCTAGGTGATCTCTAAGTAGAACCCCAAACTGAAGCCATGTGAGTGTATAGTCTCTTCTATTCCTTTGGTAACTATATACCAACTTGATTCATTGTTTCAAACTGATTTTCATCTGTTCATTTATTCAACAAATTTTTATTTTATTTTTTGAGACAGAGTCTTACTCTGTCACCCAGACTAGAGTGCAGTGGCACACCATGGCTCATGGCAGCCTCCACCTCCCTGGGCTCAGGTGATCCTCCCACCTCAGCCTCCAGAGTAGCTGAGACACCAGGCACGTGACCACCATGCCTGGCTAATTTTTTTTTTTTTTTTTTGAGATGGGGTTTCACCACGTTGCCCAGGCTTGTTTCGAACCCCTGAGCTCAAGCAATGCTCTTGCCTTGGCCTCCCAAAATGTTGGGATTACAGGCATGAACCACTGCGCCAGGTTTGACAAATATTTATTGTACTTACTATGTGCCAGGGACTGTTTTAGGCCCTAGAGATAGTGCTGAACAAACTGCAAAAATCTTTGCCCTCGTGAATATTTAAAACTGGTATTGTTGGTATCCTCTTATATGTTTATTTTCTGCTTCTCCAAATAGATTAGAAATTCTTTGGGAGAAGGGACAAATTTTCAATGTCTGGTTCTTGTAAATACATATTTGCTGCTTGGTCGACTGAAGCTCTTAATCAGGCTGACCTTAATCCCTTAAGCTAAAACAAAACAAGGTTATCATCACCATAACAATATTTGCACCTTCAGGAAACACCAAATGCTCACCCAGTGTTAACTCTGATTCTCATAACCCTCTTTGAGTGAGGACAGTTGTAATCCCATTTCGTGGCCAAGAAAACCAAGGCCCTAGTTGCTAGCTGAGCAACACAGCAGCCTGATTTGAACCCAGCTCTCTTTCTTCACAGAGCTCATGCTCCGTGCTGCACTGGCCATTGTCCGTAAGAGCTTCAATGGCAGGAACATGGCCTTATTCTTCACTGTACACCCAGTTCCTAGAAGAGGGACTGGGACCCAGTTTCGCTCATTAAATATGCTGAGATGTGTAAGCCGGCGCTGTGTCAGGCCCAGCTGGCCCCCATTCTGCTAAACTGTAGGCACAGGACCTAGCAATCTGCAGGCACAGATGAGCCTCATTCTCTGAAGCAAGCCCGAGGGTTCCTTGGAGCCCCGATTCCCACTGGGCCTTTGTCTGATGTGCCTGGGAGTGAGCTGGAGGCTCCTGGAGATGTATGAACCTCACCTCTTCTTTGGACTTTCCTGCAACACCCCTTCCCCCATGGGCCCTCCTCCTTAGGTTCCCAAAGGCCTGTTCTGAACCTCAGCTTGGGTAGTGAGGTCCCTCGTCCACCATGAACTCTCTCCTCCAAGGACCTGGACTCTTGCTCTTCTCTCAGCAGAAGACCAGGGGCCTGTCTCAACCTACACGCACCTCCCCAGCCCAGGCACCCGCCACCGGATTACTCCCACACTGCACCCTACCTGCAGCCTCTGCATCTCTTCACATAAAATTAGATCCTTGAACATTGGTGCCAAAAGAAAGAGTCTCAGTTTGCCTTGTCCCTCTGCGACTGAGCATCTGACCATCCTGCTGACAGGACAGTTTCACCCCCGAGTCAGTTCCTCCCACCCTGGCTGCCATTGCTTGCATGTTCACTTCCCTGGGAATGCCTGCTGTTGAGGCTTCAATGGACCCATGCAACTGAGCATCCCGCACTCTGACAGTCATGACATCCCTGCTGACTGCAGTGCTCAGGTGACAAATGCCACTCATGACCTTTCTTTTCAACACATTTGTCCTGTTCCCTGGTGGCGACTCCCAATTGCCATATAATTTAAGACACTCTAGGTCACTTGATTCACCTCAGCAAGCTTGCTTTGCTACTATCCGAGGAACACTGAATTGGGTCCCAGGTAACATTGGTGCATGCTCCTTGGTGGCATGCAGGACTCAGGTAAGTCATCCAGGATGGAAGCCAAAGTTGGCTTATATACTTCACCATTTTAGGCTAAGAAACACTCCTATACTACAACTTTTCTACAGAAGCCCATTAAAAGAACCTCTTACTGATCGGATGCCCCAAATATCCCCAGAATCAAGTGGTTCAGAGTAATTCTAGAGTGCTGACTCAAATTCCAATCCCCCCCTTTTCCCATTACTCACTTTACCCAGATCAGCTTTGTTGGTCCTCCAAAGTGTGTTTCCCAAATCGTGTCCTGAAACCACTACCCTTCAACAAAGAAAAGAAAATTCCGGCTTATACAAATCTATACAGTTATCCTTTGGTTCTTGTGGGGGATTGGCTTCAGGACCTTTTTTGAATACCAAAATCCATGGATGCTCAAGTCTCTGATATACAATGATGTTGTATTTGCATATAACCTACACACATCCACCCATTTACTTTGAATCGTCTGTAGATTACTTGTGATGGCTAACACAAAGTAAACACGATGGAAATTATTGTTGTACCTATTGTTTAGGGAATAATCACAAGAAAAAAGCCTGTGAATGTTCAGTACAGACACAATTCTTTTCTCAAATATTTTTGATCCACAGTTGATTAAATTCATGGATGCAAAATCCATGGATAGGGAAAGCCAACTGAATGTTTTGTTTTGTTTTTTTAAACTTCAGGAGTTTTTAGAGCCTTTACTATGATTATGGTTTTTCTCAAGACAGGATATGCAGCGTGTCTCAAACTTGTCTGGCACGTAGATCCTTCATCTCAGAGGATATCCAAAGAGCCAAGTCCATAAAAAACATTTTTGAAAAATGCTAAATCCAGCCAGGTGCAGTGGCTCAAACCTGTAATCCCAGCACTTTGGGAGGCTGAGTCAGCAGATCACTTGAGGCCAGGAGTTCAAGACAAGGCTAGCCAACATGGTGAGACCCCCATCTCTACTAAAAATACAAAAATTAGCCAGGCATGGTGGTGCACACCTGTAATCCCAGCTACTCAGTGGGCTGAGGCACAAGAATCTGCTTGAACCCAGGAGATGGAGGTTGCAGAAATCACACCACTGCACTCTAGCCTGGGCGACAGAGTGAGACTCTGTCTCAAAAAAAAGAAGAAAGGAAAAAAAATGCTAAATCCATAACTTGCATTAAAGAGAAGTCTGTCTTAAAACATTTCAGTGGGTAATTTTTAAAAATTTATATATCTTTACACTCAGAAGTTTTTTAACTTAATATTTTGAAATTAAAGAACTAGATTTCTCCTCCCTACATTCTAGTCATTCTTTTGAGCCCTGAAGATTTCTCTTATAAAGTGACTTATAAACATGCAAATTCTCCAGCAGTATCGAGGGTAAGGTAGATGTGCTGGGAGAACATTCAGGGACAGAATCGGTTGGCAAGGAAGACGCTCAAGCACTCATAGTTCCGCTGGCAGTGAGGGGAGGAAGACTCTTCTTCATCCATCCTAGGCTCCTGGCTGAGGCCCCTAAAACAAAAGACAGGCCAGGCACTGTGTCTCACACCTGTAATCCCAGCACTTTGGGAGGTCAAGGCAGGAGGATTATTTGAAGTCAGGAGTTTGAGACTATCCTGGGCAATACCGCAAGATCTTGTCTCTACAAAAAAAAAA